TTTATTATTTTTATTTTTTGGTGAACTTCTTGGTCAGGCTGAGATCTTTTCAGTTATCCCCTCTTGTGTGTCTGTAATATATGTGTGTGTATTGAAGAGCATAATAACCATTGTATTTTCCTAGCAAGTGTCTTTCTTCCACATAATTTTTTAAAATTATATATATATATATTTAATGATGACTAAGATATTCTTTGTATGTTTGTTATTTAGTTGGCCTGTGAGAGCACAGTAAAGTTTTGGCAAATTTTCAAAAACTTTGTGTATGTATATATATATATATATATATATATATATATATATTAAAGAAAAACAGACCACTTTAAGGTTCCATTATAATAATTTATTTCCCCAGTAGCTCTGGATTTACATTGAGCTCTCAGGATTTCGTCTTCCTTGGGACTTACTCGTATGAATTACCAAGTTTTTCATAACTTTTATATATATATATATGAGAGAGAAACAAAAGGAAACCTTCTCTTTATTGATATTGTCCTTTTACAGATATATTCTATGTGAACTTTTTATATGCACACACACACACACACACACACACAGACACATATGAATTGGGATCAGACAGAATGATAAGATTAAAGAACAAATCAGAAATATTTATCAATATAAAATGTTTCACTTTTATTAAAGCTTCATCAGAGAATGAAATATGGAGGGAAAGAAAAAAAAGAAATTCTGTTATTTTCATTTTCAGGGGTTAACCAGGTTTTGCATGCATTTGATTTGATAAACAAACTAATAAATATATTACCAACTATAAACACATCATATTACATCATCAACCTTTACTGAATCCATTCTTAAAGAATCTATCTGAAACAAATGGTATATATGTAAAAACTTTCCTAAATCAACATGCAAAATCCAACAAACATAATATCTGTTAAACACACACACACACACACTCACACTTACAAACATACATTGTCATCTGAATTCCATATCGACAAATTAGTATTATTATATATTTAAATACAAAAAGCAATATTTACAGTTTTTCAGTTGGTCTTGGAATCTGTTAATTTCTTGGATCTTCAAATGAATTCATCTGTCCTTGAATTCAGAACATCATAAATTATACTAATGTTTGTTTAACAAGTCCAATGCACATGAAACCTGATTAACCAATGAAATTGAAACAACACAAAAATAAAAATTTCTTTCTTCTTTATCCGCATATCTCATTCTCTGTTGAAGCTTTAATGAAAAGTGAAACATATTAAGCTGCTAAATGGTTCCTATTTTTTCTTTATCTTATCACACGCACGCACACAAGTAAGCACATGCTCTATCCCTGATACTGAACACTTTTCGCTGTGAATATAGCATGCCTTAAACGTACATTTTATCATATATATATATATATATATATATATATATATTTAAGGTAAACTATATTTATAAGTTAAAATGCTCAATATCAGGTGTAGAGCATATGTAAATATAATAGTGGGCATTGAGGTCAGCACCCAGCA